ATGGTTTGAAGCTGACCTCCAGGGAGGTGCAAAGTCAGCCACTGACTTTGAGGGATTTGCAGATGGCTATCATTGAGGCCCACCTGTGAAGCAAGGCACACTGGTACTAGTGCTGGTTCTTGGGCTTTTTATTGATAGGGTTGGTCACGCTGACACCAGCTGCAGCTTGAGAGATTTTAGTAAAGTCTAAAGCCTGAGCCAGGACAGTCCATTCATATGGAAAAGTTACTGCAAAAAGCTTGGGTGGGACTGCAAATTCGATGGGGCAGTCTCTCAGGGAATCACCAGGGTGGAGCAACCAGTATGCTCTGGGCCAGCTGTGGGCAAACTACGGATCTGGCCCGTTTGAAATGAATAAAACTAAAAAAAAAAAAAAAGACTGTACCCTTTTATGTAATGATGTTTACTTTGAATTTATATTAGTTCACACAAACACTCCATCCATGCTTTTGTTCCGGCCCTCCGTTCCAGTTTAAGAACCCATTGTGGCCCTCGAGTCAAAAAGTTTGCCTCCATCTGGGCTGATGGAGACTCATATATGGCTGCCAGTCAGCAGTGCTACGGGAGAGATCCCAGCCCAAGAACAGTGACCCCTGTGAGCACCCCCGAAAACCACCCCCAAGTTCTTGCCCTGATGCCAGACAATCCAGTTCTTCCCTGAATGTGTCTGGGTCCCCCAACACCTCTTGGCTCAGAGGGTTCAAGTTCGAGAGTTCATGTGCCGCCCTTTCAGAGGGACACAGCGGTCTCTGGCAGCCTCTGTGTCCTCCAGCCATAATCCCCACTGATTTTTACAGCCTGGACTTATCTTCCCAGCTCTGGAACCCTGGGCTGGGGGGCTGGTGTGGGGCTGGAACCCTTTGCTCCTTAAGGGTGGCCTCTGCAGAGATGATCTCCCTTACAGTTAAAAAAAATCACACATGGGTGCTGTATCAGTCTATCCTGCACCTCCGCCCCTCCTACCAATGAGTGTGCTTTCTTCTTCTCTAGTTGTAGGACTTCCATTCAGCCAGTTTTCAGGTGGTTCTGAATGGTGGTGGTTCTGTATTTTAGTTGTCATTTTGATGTGGTTATGGGAGGAGGTGAGTACAGGTATTTACCTACTCCACCATCTTGGTTCCTGTCTCCCCTCCATTTTGTTTAGCTCTTTTTCTGGAGTTTTGTCCTTTTCTGTCATTTGAGACATGTTTCTTTGTCTCTTCATTTTGGCTGCCTTCTTGTGTTTGTTTCTGTATGATAGGTATATCTGCTATGTCACCCAGTCTTGTAGAGTCACCTTTTGTAGTAGGTGTCCTCTGGGGCCCAGTTGTACAGCCTCTCTGTTTACTTGAGCCAGGTGGTCCAGTGGGGTTGTCACTTTTGTGGGTTGTGTACTCTCCTGTTTTAGTTGAGCCTTGATTGCTATTAACACATCAGTGGGTCGGATTGACCCTGAGGCTGACTGGTTGTGAGGACTGGCCATGACTACAGTTGACCAGCTTTTATGCAGGAATGTGATCCTACAGAGCAGAATTTGATGTGTCTGACCCCTGGTGCCTGCGGAGTTCACTCTATGGGTGTATTGTTTGTAATGCTAATTGCCTATTGTTCTGGTTTGTTTTGAAGCCGGCCACCAGATGTGTTGGTTCTGGAGCCTTTTCAGGGGGAACTCTGGTAATTGCCAAAGTCAGCGGCTGCTTGTGCTTAGTCCAGGGCTACCTGGTAGGAGGTACACAGTTATCTGTTGTTGGTAGCTGCCTGTGCTGGGCTTGGGAGGGGCCTAGTAAAGGCTATGCTGCAACCCCAGGCTAGCTGCCACCAGTGCCAGGCTTGGGGCCACTTAGCAGGAGGCACACTGAGGCCATCTGCTACTTATTTGGGGCTTATAGACCTTTGCGAGATTTTAGGGAAGTCTGCAGTACAGGCAGAGGCCACTAGCTGCTTGTGAGGAACAGTTGCTGAAAGAGCTTCAAGAGGTGCACGAGTTGGGTATGGCAGGATCTCAGAGAATCATGAGGAAGAAAGGTGTTATTTGGCTTAATAGAGACTTAGATATGGTGCCCACTGTGTGGGGGAGGGCTAAACTAAGGAACAGTGGTAACAATGCCAGCACTTCTGTCTTGGCAAAAGCTGCCCCTGTAGCCCTCGTTCTGAAGCCAGACATTTCAATTCTTCCCTGTATGTTCCTGGTGTTTTTCAAGCTGCTGCCCTTTTGTTGGAGCTTACGGTGAATGCTTGTAAATGAGTCTGTACCCAGGCTGTTTAAGAGCATGCCTGGGTCTAATCTTCACTGATTTTCACAGCCAGCTGTTGTGGGGACCACTTGCTTCTCAGGGGTTCCTGGGGTCCAACCCCAGCAGGTCCAGGGGTCCCCAAAGGTGTGGACGGAGTTGGCGAAGAAGGAATGACACAGAGACAGCGTTCAGATGATCATCATAGCGAGGTTCTCTGGCCAGGATCTCCAGCCAATTTCTGTCCGGGTTCTCCAGCCAGGTTCTGTCGCTATGTTCTCTCACTAGGTTCTCTGTCCAGGTTCTGTCTCTAGGTTCTCCAGTCTGGTTCAGTTGCCAGGTTCTCCAGCCAGGTTCTATCCAGGTTCTCTAGCCAGGTTCTATTCAGGTTCTCTAGCCAAGTTCGGTCGCCAGGTTCTAGTCAGGTTCTCTTGCCATGTTCTATCCAGGTTCTGTAGCCAGGTTCTGTCTCTAGGATCTTCAGCCAGGTTCTCTCGCTAGGTTCTGTCTCTAGGTTCTGTTGCCAGTTTCTGTCCAGGATCTTTTGCCATGTTCTGTCTCTAGGTTCTGTGTGTAGGTTCTGTGTGTAGGTTCTGTGTCTAGGTTCTGTGTTCTGTTGTCCTGCCACATCTGCACTTATACCAGTTGACTCCAATCCTATCAATCTCTATTCCAAAGGTTAGGGTGTTTCTTATCTCCATTCCAGGGAGTAAAGATTATGTAGCTTAAGCATGATTGTTTGTAGTTAAAGTGATTAATTACCCGCCTGGCACTTAGTTAAGGGGTTTTATTCCCTCCCTAACTTCAGGGAAAAATCCCTACCTGGGGAAACAACCTTTCTCAAAGAGGTGACCTTGGTTAAAACACATAGTGCCAAGAAGGTGAGCAAACATATTAAGAACAGTATGCCATATATGCCAGGTCCCTTGAAACAGCAAGGATGGACCGGCTCCCGGCAAGGGGTAGCCTCCATACCTGAGATACTTCTCCTGATTCTCAATCCCCACACGTGGGTGTGCAACCAGGCCATTTTGAATCCGTATCCTTCCTACCAGTTTCAACGCGTCTTTTTTATATCTTTAGTTATAGGTGTTCTGTTCAGCTAGTCTTCCGGGGGTTCTCAAGGTTGCTGATCTATAATTTAGTTGTATTTTATTTTTTTAATCCTCACCTGAGGAATTTTTTCCCATTGATTTTCAGAGAGAGTGGGAGAGAGGGGAGATCGGGGAGGGAGGGAGGGTGGGGGGGGAGAGAGAGAGAGAGAGAGAGCGGGAGAGAGAGAGAGAGCGGGAGAGAGAGAGAGAGCGGGAGAGAGAGAGAGAGCGGGAGAGAGAGAGAGAGCGGGAGAGAGAGAGAGAGAAACATCAATGTGAGAGAGGCACATTGATTGGTTGCCTCCCACATGGGCCCCGACTGGAGCTGGGGATCAAACCTGCAACCCAGGTATGTGCCCTTGACCAGGAACTGAACCCGAGGCCTTTGGTGCATGGGCCAACACTCTAACCACTGAGCATGCTGACCAGGGCAATTTAGTTGTGATTTTGATGTGGGCATGAGTGGAGATGAACACAGTGTTTACCTACTCCACCATCTTGGCCAGAAGTTCATTTACAGTATTTATTGAAGAAAATGCACATAAAAGTGAACCCACCAATTGAAACCTGTGTTGTTCAAGGATCTACTGTAGTTCACTTTTATTTAAGTTTTGAAAGATTTGTTCCTGTTTTCTCAGGAAGTAGAATACACTTTGAATCCATACTTATATTTAAAAGATCAAAGATGATGGGAGCAGTTCACCAGCTAAGTAAAAAGGTAGAGAGTCATCTCAGCATTAAGTTGTGTAAATATAAATGACCTGGTGATCAACATATATTTTAGCATAGTCAATGCTAAACATTTAATCTATGCTAACAAAACATGATCCCCATACAGAGGTGTGGGTAGACTGTGTGTTCATTGAGAGGAGTTTACAAAGGCAGGAACATGGTGAAATATGTATATGAGTGTCTTAGCTTTATTGTTTACTAGCAGAATGAAGTGATATTATTTAGTATTCCAGACCAATCATGGAGCTGTTTTTCTCTTCACTCCTACATTCATAGGCTCTATATTACTGGGGCTTTAGTAAAGAAATTAAACTGACTTTTAGGTTATATATTTATCTCTGTTGAGTTTTATTTTTTGGTTGCATGTGTTTTGTCGTTTTCTCTGTTGTCCCAAAACTCCCAATTGTAAACAGAAGTTAGTTACCAGCAATAATTTTGACCTGTCTTTTTCACTCTTTAAGTATTCATTCAGCAAAGTGTATGCTAGCGAAATACCTTTAGTATTAAGTGCAAAAAAATCCTTTTTTTAAATCAGCAATCAGCTTTCTAACAACTCAGAGTAGTTAAACTGGACATGAGTTTTGTTAATTGCCTTTAAACTTATTTAGTCTTATATATGTTTCCTAAAACATATTAGTTATTATATAATTAAATTCACATGTAGCTGCATCTGACTTTATGGTAGCTTATACCAACAAACTGCTGTAACTTTTTTATTCTTTGTCTTTTGAAATTTGACTTAGGTCATATGCTGTGAACTAACAAACTCAAAGGTTTGAGGTTTGGTGATGAGATAAAACTGAAATATAGGGGAAAGACAAACAAAAATAGTTGTATTTAAAATAAGACTGTCAAACACTGACATGTGACCAGGTGTATAATTAGACCATGATATACCATAGCTTGGAGGAAAGTCATCTGGAAAAAGTCAGATTTTAGCTAATCTTAGTCCTTTACTTCTTAGGCAAACTGGAACCGGGCTGAAGGAGAAAATGAATTCCAAATCCCTGGCAGAGCAAGATGCCCCTCTGACCAACTAAAGGAAGCCAGTGTCTCTGATGTGGGACAATTGGATCCTTCATTGGACCAAGGTAGTAAGGATATACGCCATAAAGGAAAACGGGGTAAGAAGGTAAGTAAATTAAGTAAAAGAGCAGTGAGGTCTGTGTATGTGTTCTAATCGAAGGTACCTTTAACCAGTTTCAATTATTTATAAGATCTTATCCCCATTTACTAAAAAAAAAATGGCACAACTTGTAGAGTTACAAAGTGATTACTAGTAAACATAATTAGCAGCTTTAATATTTCCCTTTCCAAGTGTTTGTTACTTAAAGTGATTTAAAAGATATTCTATGTTTTGAGGGATAGATTTTTTTTGCAACTATTTGAAAGATTTTGATATTTACCTTAATGATGTACATACTTTTTTGTTTTGTGTTGTTCTCAAACACAAACCTTCCTATATACACCAAGATCTTGGGGCTAGGTATGCTTGTTCTTAGACTGCCATTTTCAGTTCCTTATTTCTTGATGGTCAACAAGACAGAGGATGGGTTATTTAACATATTTTGTAGTTTTTTAATGGTTTCTTCTTTCATTTCTTATATTGAGTATATGATCCTATATAATAAAAGCCTACTATACTAAGTGTCCGGTCGTCTGGTCATCCGTTCAACCAATCAAAGTGTAATATGCCAGTGATATGCTAAGGCCATTCAACCACTCACTATGATGTACACTGACCACCAGGGGGCAGACTGTCTACTGATCAACCAGTCGCTATCACGTGCACTGACCACCAGGGGGATGACGCTCCAACTGGTAGGTTAGCTTGCTGCTGGGGTCCAGCCTATCAGGGCTGCGCAAGACAGGCCAGACATGCCCTAAACCCTCCCACAGTCCCTCCCTGGCTGGCTAACCTCCTGCGTCCCTCCATGGTCCCGATCATGCACTGGTGGGGTCCCTTGGCCTAGCCTGCGCCCTCTCACAATCCAGGACCCCTCAGGGGATATCGGAGAGCTGGTTTCAGCCCGATCCCGAAGGCCAGGCTGAGGGACCCCACTGGTTCATGAATTCGTGCACCAGGCCTCTAGTATGTTATAAGTGGTACATCAGGATTAGAGTTAGTAAATTTTAAGTGCCAGAATGTTGAACGTAGTGGGAAAAGTTTAAATTTCTCATTTCAAGTAATTGACCATTCAGTGGGGAGGACAGGTCAGCAAAGAGACCATTTCTGTCTAGTGTGATTATTTGATGAAGGTACATAGATTGTATAGAAAGCTAGGTTGTACCTTCTCTCTAATGTACAATCTGGCCTCAGAAATAAGTGTGGGCATATTGCTGATGTGGGAAGCAATCAGGAGTTTTTACTTATGAGTGGCTTTTCGCCTGTGTAGAAGTTTTTTTTTAATATATTTTATTGATTTTTTTCAGAGAGGAAGGGAGAGAGATAGAGAGCTAGAAACATCAATGAGAGAGAAACATCAATCAGCTGCCTCCTGCACATCTCCTACTGGGGATGTGCCCGCAACCCAGGTACATGCCCTTGACCGGAATCGAACCTGGGACCTTTCAGTCCGCAGGCTGACGCTCTATCCACTGAGCCAAACCGGTTTCGGCCTGTGTAGAAGTTTTTAAGTGAAGTTCTCTTTGTATTTCTGTTGAGAAGTTTGATTTTCAAGTTATAAGGTATGAGTTAGCTTGCTTCTAAGTTCTTAAAATGAATAAATTTAGTTTTGAGATTTTTGAGTGTTGGCCCTAGCTCTCATAATAACTGTTGAATAATCAATGTACAGGTATTTCTGTGTTCCCATTTCTATTCAAATGGAATGGCAGGTTATTTTGTGTTTATATATTTTTACTTGCTTTTACTTGATTTCTTTCAAAACCAGTTTATTTGGATACATCCTTCCTCACTGATTGAGTCATTTAACAGAAATCTTCTAACCATGTACATACTAATATCTAGGGGGTTATAGCAGAGTGAAGGAACTCATAGTTAGTCAAGAAAAGAAAAATGTCATTTTAAATATGATTTGATAAATGCTGTACTGGAGGTACGTTGGTTTTTAAGTCTTACTTACCACTCGGACTATATATAAGACCAGAAAGTTTTCAACTTCATGGCAGTTATGGTATTGCACTTTATACTATAAAATGTAGTGGTAACTAGTTTGGCTGGAGATATTTCATTATTATATCTAATATTTGTTGTTTTAATATTTTAGTACATAAAACTTACAACTTTTCCCCCTTAGTACCTTTCTGTTTCACATTTGAAACATGTTTACTATTCAGGGTAAAGGTACTTCAAGTGAAGAAGTCAATCTGAGTCACATGGTACCCTATGAGCCAGTTGCAGAAGAAAAAGCAAAGGAATTACCTGAATGGAGTGAGAAAGTGGCTCAAAACATTTTGTCAGGTATAACTTTTTCCCCTTTAATGTGAAACCTTTGGGACTCATAAAAGAGTATTTAGGAAGATAATGTTTTATATTTTGGTTCTAAATGATCAGTTTATAAACACTTAAAACAAAAATTGAAGGAACTTATTGACATATAGGTGTAAGTTCTTTTTCATCTATTCTCTTTTATTCTTGGGAAAATTGATAGTGAAAAGATTCAGGAATCTACAAACAGTTCTGAACATAAAATTAGTTATTTTCCATTTCCCTTTGAAATTTCCTTTTAATCCTTTTATTCCCCCCCCCCCCTTTCCTCTCCACAACCAAAAAATGGTAAGATATTCATCTGTCTTTGGAAGCAAAGCGGTACTCCCTTACCACACAGATGTGCAAGCATGAGAAGATATAAGGATTACAGCCAAGCTGTTTGGGGAGTAGTCCCTACTATTTAATTGTGGTTACAATGGGCTTCAGACTAATGATTTGAAAACCAGAATGGTCATTGCTGACATATATCTTTCTTTTCTTTTTTTAAAATTAAATCTTTATTGTTCAGATTATTACAGTTGTTCCTCTTTTTCCCCCCATAGCTCTCTGCCACCCAGTTCCCACCCCACCCTCTACCCTTACCCCTCCCACTGTCCTCATCTATAGGTATACAATTTTTGTCCAGTCTCTTCCCGCACCCTCACACCCCTTTCCCCCAAGCATTGTCAGTCCACTCCCTTTCTATGCCCCTGGTTCTATTATATTCACCAGTTTACTCTGTTCATCAGATTTTTTATTCACTTGATATT